GTACCTGCGTGTTCCAAACGCCCGCTTTGATGCAATGCACACTTCAGCACGAGTCCTGTATCATCGAGGTTGTCGACACTGATGCCAACCTGATAACAGCCCTCTTTATTACCTGTAGGCAGATGGAGGCCGGAGCCAAGCAAGCGCTTCGATTTTAGCACCAAGCCCGTAAAGTTGCGTCCATGCAGTGAGTGGAAAATGCCAAGCTGAAGCAAAGCCTTTCCTATGATGGATTTGTGCTCATTGGTGAGAATGGCACCAAGCTCATTCCACTGCTCAATGTGCTTGGCAATTTTCCCATATTCATTGTCCTGAAAAAGAACTTGCCTGCCTTTGGTCATAGCAGTAGAAATACAGGAGCCGCCAGGGCAGTTCCTGCGTACACTGCGAATGCTTGACAACTTTGTGGCCGCTTCAACCTCGGCTGTACTGAATGCAGATTCATGGCAAGAGATATAACTGCGTGTTAACACCTTTCGCGCGCGCGGTGAAGGATCTACCGGAAGACCTTGGAGGGTTAAAGTCAAGAGTGATCCAGAGGCGTGCAGCATGTCTGGTGTTCCCTACCTTGTCTATCCAGGAACAAGCTGAAAGAATTTCAACATGAGTAACACTTTCAAACAAGACAGCTGAAAGAATGCGAAGAAGTTCAGCCGGAACTTCTTCCGCTCCGAGCCAATCCTGGGCCTCAAGACAGACATTTAAGGTGCATAAATGCCTGCGAGCTTTTTCAACCCATGACAAGTATCGACCTGTTGGAAAGAGGAGAACAAGGTGTTCGTTCGTTCTAGAATCTTGGCAAGTCTCATGAGAAATGCGTCCAAGTAGCGATGGCAGTTTCTCGTAACAATGTATGCTTTTCTTAAGAGTGGGCGACATCGGTCCATTCTGCTTCCCTTCTGAAAGCTGACTTGGTGCACTACTGAGAACCCTTACCACTCCTTCTCGCGGAAAGAAATTCAAAAAACACCATTCGGCAAGGCGCGGAACTTGAGAAGGGTATCAGGGTCGTCAATGGCAGCCATGGCGCACTTGGAGCGCAGCACCCTGGAACTCAAGCAAAAGAAGAGAGAGTTGCGTTCCTGCGGCGGAACACAGCTCAAACAATTGATGAAAAAGCAGGGCAGTGAAAAAGTAACAGCAGATCAACACAAGGTGAAAAGGAAAGTGCCCAAGCTGAAATCAGAAAGCGAAGAGCCTCGTGAAGTAAAATCCAAAAAAGAGAGCGCGTGGAGCACAACTTCTAACAGTCAAAGGGCAACAGAAGCAAAAGGGAAAAGCGTTCCTGCGGCGGAACACAACTTCAGGAAAAGACCCGACACCGGGGAAAATAAAACGATAGCAGTCAAAACTACTCCGCAGAGTAGGAAATACAAGGTACACTCCGGCGGCGGAGCAAACCCTGAACGATCCAGCGATCACCAGATCAATGATCACGAGGCAAACTCCTGCGGCGGAGTACACCTCTTCGAACTTGAGCCAAGGAGCACGAATAACCTGGCCTTGGTGCCCGGACAGACAGCAAGAAAGGTGTCCCTCAAGTGCCTGAAGGAACGCACACGTTGCGAGATCCTTCCTTCTTGGTTTTTCAAGAAGACCTGACGCGCGACAGGTGAAGATGCCTAGGGCGCAAAGTCCAAGGGCGTCATGGTTGCAGCAGTGCATGTTTCTCATAAAACGGGCTGGGATCAAACAGACTTGTCACAGGGGTCAGATTGACTTGTTCACTTGCAGAAGCATCAAATAGACTTGTGAAGCATCAGAATGGCTTGTGACCAAGCATCAGATTGACTTGTTAGTTGTACAACGAAAATCCATCATGCGTCACTCATCATCCTCATCATCATCATCATCCTTCCTCAATCATCGGACATTCATCATCCAGCGTCAGCAGCATCATCATCGTCATCATCGTCCTCGTCGTCCATCATCCATCATGGCTCATCGATCAGCTAAAACCATCGTCACCATCATCCATCACCCATCATCGTCGTCCATCATCACCGTCCATCCTCACCGTCATCCATCGTCAACCATCATCATCACCACTATCAGTCACTATCATCATGGTGACCATCGTCGTCATCATCATCATTATCCATCACCATCCTCATCATCTCATTACCAACGTTCATCATCATCCATCATCGCCATCATGGGGATCACCAGCATTCTTATCGTCATCATCATCGTCGCCTTCGCGGTGATCTTCCGTCATCGTCATGATCATCGTGGTCGTCGCATTGTCGGCGTCATGACCCTTACCCCGTATCTTATATACGCTTCAGCTGCGCCGTCAAGCAACGCTCGCCGATGCTGCGACGACAGACGTGGCATGGATGATCATCAGCATCATCACCTTCATCACATATCATCATCACCATCATGACCAGCGTTATCACGATCCATCGTCATCATTATCATGATGGTTCATCGTCGTGCATCGCCATCATCCATCACCACCATCATCCGTCATCACAATGGACATTGTAGTCTTAGCCTCTATCTTCCGTCCGTTTCAAGGCCGTCGATCATCATCATCATCATCCTCATCATCACCATCATCATCACTTGTCATCATCATCCAGCGTCCTTCACGATCCTCCATCATCATCATCATCCATCATTATCATCCATCATCCTCATCCATCAGCAGCGTCCTTCATCATCATCACATCATTCTCATCATCCTCATCATCATCATCAACCCATCAATCTTCATAGTGCCATGATGATGACATTGCGGTCTTCGCTTATCCCCCGCGTGTCAACTGATGATAGTCATGATGGCGCGGACTCATCATCATCATCATCATCATCATCATCATCATCATCATCCCTCATCATCCCTCATCATCATCATCATCATCATCATCATTGTCCCACGGATTGTCATCATCTCCATCCATCATGCTGCTGATCATGGGCGATGCGGTAGAAGATAGAGGACGATGGTGGTGATGACGATGATGAGGCTGACGATTATCACCTCTGGGAAAACGGTCATGATGGATGACGATGAGGATGCTGATGGTGGATGATGACGACAACCAGAAAGAAGGATGACTATGATGGATGATGACGATGACGATGAGAATCATGATGATGGTGCGTCATGGATCGATGATGATGATGATGATGACGATGGTGATGATGATCGATGATGATCATGATGGCGCGCAGCTGCCGCAAAGGAGCGGAGGCTTGAAGCAGCTTCATTTTCCAACTTGGTCCTTTTGCAGTTAACCTGATACGGCCAGCTCCCAAGTCGGCGTAGCAGTTTGCACACACTTGAGCCTGCCGCCTCTTGGGGGCAGTTTCCAAACCCGAAAAAAGGCCTCAGCACAGACACACGGGCCTGCGTTCTTGTTCACACGTGCTTTTGCAAGCTCCGCGCAAGAGCTGTTTGGAGCTCTGACGGCGGGCGCGAAAAGACATCTGGGGCGCGGGGGCCGACACAAGTCAATCTCATCCCCCGCATAACAAGTCAATCTGACCCCTCTCACAAGCCAATCTGATGCTTACAAGTCAATCTAATGCTCCTCACAAGGAGGGCGGGCCCTCCACCTTGGTTCGCGGATGATAAGGGGCTGCAGCGGCAGCCGTTGTCCGCCGCAGGTGTGAACAGTTGCTCTCCATTCGAGACCCATCAGCAGGCGCCTGCACCTTTTCCCAGCGCTACTGCCGACCACAGGGTTCAATCCGACGCCCACAAAACAACCTCGACGCCACAAACCAATGTGATGCTTCTTCACATTAGCCAGTCTGAGAATTCAACATATCAATCCGAGGAACAACTCAACTTGAGCACGTAGGGTCTCGGCTTCGAATTGGGGGCTGCCCGTCGTGCATGCTCAAACTAGCCCCCACAAGTGCAGCACTGGGACATCCGCTCTCGCGGTGCTGGACGTCACAGTGAAGGCATCCCGATTCAATGTGCATCCAGGTGCGTTAAAAGGAATCGTGATTCTGGTGGAACATCATGCAGGAGCGGCCGACCGTGCTACGCGCACTGTCATGAGTACTCTGATTTGAGAGTAGATGGCTGAAGAAATCAGTACTTTGACAAATAGAGATTGTCAATTATCAGAAAATAATCGGACATTTTCTAACTGGAGTAGATGGCACAACTCTTCCCGGTTTTCTGAACACCCGGCTTGGGTGGTTGTGGCCAGGGACAAAAAACATTTTCGCACGAATACGCAAATGAGTGGTGGCAACACTAAATTTAGAACTGGTGGCAAGACCAAATTTGGTGCTGGCAATACTAAATTGGGGTTCTGGAATTTTTATGATGCGCGAGAAGTTATCTAAATCTAAAGAACCCCACGTGTGGCACGTGGCTTTCAAGTAGTGGCTACTAGATGTTGGGCCGAGCGTTTCTACAGTGTGATTTTCTCAGACGTCATGGACTGTTTGGCGAATGCTCCAGGGCTCATTTTGCGGAGTTAAGGTTGAGGCTTGGAAATCCGATCTTGCTGTGGTAGATCGGCAAGCAAGTCCAAATGATGCTGGTGATGCTGGGGATGTTGGTTTTGCAAGATTATGTCACCTTGCGCATGTTTTGGCAAGAGATGGTGACTACAAATTGTGTCCTTGTGATTTAGGGTTTGGCAGTGTGAGGCACTGACAAGGTTTCAACTTCGTGATTATTTCGTAGCTGCTTTGCTCGATACAGCTGTTCACTGACCCAAAGAAGGCTCCACACCAATTGTTTTAATTGCCACACTTCTTCACGGCAGGTCATCGATGCTTGACCAGGAAGCCCACTGGCAGATGTGCCCTTTCCTCCTTACTTGTGACGGTCAAACTCAGACTTTTTGGTGTCGACCCGCCGACTCCAAGCAGAAGGCTGAGATGTGGCTTGCTTCAGATCGGAACCCACTGAGGCGGCGGACACCCATGAGCGCATGAACCCACCAGCCCATGAGCCCTTTTCTTTCCGGTTGGCAAAGGATACACTTCGCTTTGCATACACGAGCAAAGCGCAGGGACTTTGTTGCAGAGAGCAGATGAGCCTTGACGGCTTTCTTGGCCAATGGCCAGCAATGTGGATCCTCCATACTTGCTACGTGGGCACGGGAAGCCGGGCACCGAGTGGGGAGGGTTCCAAGGGGGGAGCCTGATTACCATTGGATTGGCCAAACCGCAAAATTCGTGCAACTGACAAGAATCCCCTGATTGTTGACTCTTTGCCTGTCTATCCTCGAGCATTTCATCGGGTATCGAAGAACAAAGAAGCGCCAAGCACCTTGACAAAACCAGCGCAGCACAATTTGCTCAACTGTTACACCACGCTGCAATAAGTTTTGTTTATCCATGGTTTCAACTGTTTCAACACATACAAGTCTTGGGGTTGCGACTATTCTTCTAGGGTGTTTGGCCCTTCCATGTTGAGTTTGATCACAACCCGGGGTGAAGTTTTGGCGGGCACTGGTTTCCACCTCCGCGAGGTTGGGAAACTTAGGGCTGCGCCCAAGAATTGCTGGAGCCTAAGATGGCAGCCGAAAAATGTTGGCATTTGTCAGACCCGATGTCGTGACACGAGGGGTCATGGTGCTTACTGTGTGGCGTCTTGCGCTTGAATTGTGCCAGACGCACAGAAATCAGGCTTTGGTGTCGACTCTTCGGGATGTGCAGGACTGGACTTGATGCTCGCTTGGATGTCAGCAACTGGGTCTCGAAAGTGCATCGTTACAGCTTGGCTTTAACGTCTCTCATTTTGCGTTCCATGATCAAACGACTCGGCTGCTTACTTGAAATTGGCTGGGATATCCACCCCCATTACTATGGGATTCCTTGTTGTATATTTCTGGTTTGTGCATGCTACGAATCACCCCAAAATGAGCCCCGACCCTCCTTTTGCACTGTTTTTATCCTCCATCCATCCCCCTATCATCTTCATTTCCCAGAACTATGCCAGGATCAGTTTCTTCTTTGGTGCGAGTGGCGCGGCGCTCGGAAGCGCAAAAAACACTGCCAATGTTTCTCAACCTCCGGGGCCGGAGTCATTTTTTTGGTAGATATTGTTTCAGCTTCTGGTCGCACCTGAAGCAAGTAGAAGCCAGGTGAAGGAAGCTCGGCTTTTGACTGGGGAGGTGCACCCAAGGGCAAGCGCTGCCAAAAACAAGGGGATACTCCTTGGGTCAATCAGGGGTTTACTTGTGCAGGGTTGCCGTTGTCGTGAGGTTCCGAATCATCGGATTTGCGCATCTTTTCCTGTACTTCGATGATGAAGAGTGCGATCAGGCCATTCATTGTGTTCCAGTCGCATTCAATCGGGAGCGGCCACTGCATAGAAGGTTTCCCTAAGATGTGAGATCAACAATAATGGTTAGTCTCCCTCCTTTCCCTTGAATCACATCCAAGACGCCACTTTCGGGATGTCTCACGTTGAATCTGCAGCAGACTGGCAGGCAAGCATCGAAGCTGCTTGTTCCACCTACTCTGCGGACTTTTTGAGCATCGCATTGCAGGAAGCTCAGTTTGTTTTCCCAGCATTTGAGCTGCAAGGCCACGGCGCCACAATGCCACGCTGCTTGTCTTGACTTTTGCCCAGGAACACGCCCCAGCTGCGAGAGGAGTGGGCATCACTGAGGACCGAGCATCCTGCAAGGTTGGTTGTTGAGCTTAAGGTTCAGAAGCACTGCTTGCGGGTGTTCTCGAGAGCGGTCATTCACCGCTTGAACACTGCCAGCCTGCTCAGCCAGACAGGTGAGCAGTGAAGAAGCCTTACTTGGATGTTCATGATTCTTTGGGGCTCTGATGATTTGGCAGGTGTTCTTGTTTTCGGGATTCCGAGGCGTCCTCTCCAGGGGGCGCGCACCATGAGTGTTGCTGTTGCTTTTGAGTCGTTGTTTGTGGGATGGGTCGGAGGCTGGAAAACAGACGATTCTCCACCTCATCGCGGCTCGAGCAGACAGCTGAAAAGCGTTTAGAGGGCATTTCGCGGGCCACCCAGCGGCCAGCATTTTTTTCCACTTGCCGCAGCCTCAAGGGCCATGCGACGCGGACTTGGTGGTTTTTGCGAACACAACCAAGGATTTTGCTCCTCTTCTTTCTGTTTCAGGTATTGTTCTTGGATGATGTCTCCGGTTTCGGTGAAAGAGGCGCCAATTTGACACCTGCCATTTTCAGGGGTCCTCGGTTTTGGACACACCTTTTAGGTCGTGCTTTTTCATTCTTCCCCACTTTCCGTTTGTTCTGCCTTCCTTCTCTGACCTCCTGCCGAGGTTTGCGCCGCCAACTTGGACTTGCAGCCATGGGAGGCGGGGACTTCGCGTCTCAAAGCAGGGTCTTTTGGATGCTTGAAGCGGAAAAACGAAGGGAAGCAACCATTCTTTTCAGGTTTCCCGTAGTGCCTAAAGTGTATCTGTTGGCACCACAAGCAGGGGGGTGCGTCTTTTCAACCATCTCCTGTTTTTGCCCAACCCTGGCCAATGCAGTTTTGCTGGGTTTGTTGAGACCAGTGTGAGGGTGTTGTCCCACAGAGAATTCCCTTGTTGTGCGGGTAAAGAGAACCGTCAGAGGTCTGAGCGATTGGCTGAAGCCGCTCCTAGCTCTCCAACTTCCCACTCCAACACCAAGTCTCCGAAACAGGGGTTTTGACAGGTGCTAGCTCCTACATTGCGATGCTTTGCATCGCCGGGTTCCTGGGAGCCACGTGGACTGCCTCCAAGGTTTCCAGGCAGGGCGTGCTGACGGGGGTTTTGCTCGAGCATCTTGGAGGGTAAGGGCTCAATGAAGCCTCAGGCCATTTCACGCCATTTTGTGGGCAAAAACACCCATCAAACTGACAACATCTGTTGGTATTCAGGTTCAGCCTGCTGAGGCAGAAGGGCTTTGAGCTGACTTCGGGACCAGTATGGTTTCTCCCTGAAACCGATTCAGCTTTGGGTTTGCTGAGCCACCAAGCCACTGCCCTAGTCAAAATAATTTATTCAGGCTGGCGGCGCATGAGATGTGCTTGGTTCTGGGAATCAACTTAAGAATGTCCAATTGTAAGGGAGCCTCATTGCCAGGATGCAAAAAGGGCCCCAGAGTTTTCGAGCTACTATTCGTGGGTTAGTGTTGAAGGGGAACCACAGTATGTATATCCAGCTCTTCAAGAGTCCCCCATTTTCCGTCGTCTTGCTGCAGACTCAAAGCGATTCTGGTGCGAGGATATTGGGCATTTCTGACATTGTCCTGGTAATCACCACGGGCGTGCTGCTGGGTCCAGAGTCCTGCCGGCAAGTTGGTTATGCCTGGCAGCTTCATGTCGAAATGGATCTCCCCAAATTGGTGTCATGTTGCACTTCCTCTCGAAAGGTCTCTAGTTTCGAGGCACATAGGACTTGTGCACCGCCACATGATGATGCTGCTTATCCCCACTGAGCACTTGCTTGCGGAGTTTGCGTGCCAGTATCCTCGGCCTCATCAGCAAGGAGTACACTGTGTGCTCGCACGCGAGGCTCGCGAAGGGGTGCCAAAGATTGGGACCGGAGCTTTGTTTAGTTGAAGAAAGGGAGCCACGAGTAGGGCTCTCATTTCGACATCAAACTGTCGTCACTTGCGCGGCGTGACGCACGCCCTGCCAGGCATACCGAGTGCCAGGTGGATGATCTGGAATACAAGGCCAGGGCGAAGCTGAAGCTTTCTGCCGGGCCACCGGCAACAGCACGCGGCTTCGGGTGGGGGGGGGTCCAGAAGGATTCTGAGGGTGAGGCCTTTGAAAGAGAGCTTTCGGCTTGCTGATTCTGTATTCAGAGAAGCTTTGCGATTCAAACAAAGCCAAGAGAAGAACTCGAATCCCTCGCGTGGCCTTCTTCAGGGCCGATTCCGGCAACGGGACAGCCCCTCATTAAGCAGCCCCGCTAGACACACCGGAGTGGTAGTTTCGAATCACTCAGCGGAAAACAGGGGAGATGCAAGGAGAAACGGGGCCATTCTCAAGAAGTTGGGCTTGTTGCTTGTTGCAAGCCAAGCATACCACCCAAACTCCAAGTAGAAAGAGGATGACTAATGAAGTTGAGGTGCCTAAAAAAGACCCAAACCACCGTGGGTCTCTTGGGTAGCAGACCCTACTTGGTGTCAGTGCAGCTTCCCTCAAGCGATTCCCATGGTCCCTTGATCAGGTTAAACTCCTCCCCTTCAGATCTTTGGGCGCATCTTTTTGCCAAGCGTTGGGGGACCAGACCGAGCTTTTGGGGCAGGTGGCCAACGGACTGGCTCTTGGCGAGCACTTGGGCAAGATCCAGCACATGGGCCTGTGCAACCCCGCCGAGTGCGCACGGGAAGATAGAAATGGGATGGGACGCCCTGCATGAAAGGTGAAATGGGCATGTCGGAATGAGTTGGGCCCTTCCAGAGTTTCATGTTCCTTTTCAACACCCGGCACGCGAACATCGTCCAGCTCCCTTGGACAGGTGGTTGAAAAGGGGAGGCAAGGAGTTTCTCCGTTGGGTTTGGAAGCTCTGACTTCCCAGTTACCACCATGAAGAGAGCCACGATGGCCATGACGCCAACAGCACCGTCGGCTGCGGCCCAAGATATGACGCGCGTTTCGTTGAAATCGAGGTTGGTCGCCTGCACCTCTGCCATTTGGGAATGCGTCCCCCAACTCGACCCTTCTGAAATCTCGATGGCCGTCATACCAGGCAAGAAAGCCACGCAGCTCCTGCAAAATCAAAGAGTTCCTGCAAAATCAAAGAGTTTGTATATCTATGAAGGGGCGCCTGCTTGACATCCATTGCTTTTGGTTGAAGATTGCACTGGGGGCGGCGCATTCTTTTTAGAGTTGGGATCAGTTGAGCTGGCAAGAAGGGGTGTCCTGGAATGAATTGGGACCGGCTTTTGGTTGCCGTGGAAGAGATGATGGAGAACAACTACTGTCAATATATATATATATATATTATGCCTCTGACAGTCCCAAATAGGGGTCAACCCCTGCTTTTCAATCCCTTGGTGGTTGCCCCAGACTGAGCAGGCTTGCCTCTTTCCAGTCCGACAAATGTCAGTCGGTTCCTCAGGTCATGGCGAGGAAAGCCACGGCGCTGGTGAACACACCAGCCCGGCGGGTGAGCACAGCGAGCACGTCAGCGACACCGACCACTCGGGAGACCACGCGTTGACGACCGGCGCCCCCCATGAAGATCACACGAGCCATGCCGCCCATGCGGACGACCACTCAACAGCTGAGGACTGGGAGGAAGGCTGAAAGCACGGAAGGTCTGTTGGTGAAAGCACGGACGGATTGTGGAATGACTCGCCGCAATTTGGTTTTCGCGTGGATGAAAAGTCATTCCCACGTTCCCTACGGAAGAGCAAGCACGTCCCGAGTCCCCATGTTTTTGTCGGAGGACCATTCCACGCATTCAGAAGACCATTCTACAGGGCCTCTCGGCTGAGATTTGGCAAGGGCTGGGGCTCAGGGCCTTGGCTGAGGCACCGCCGGCTCTCCGGCGGCTCCTATCAAAGCTACGAGGCCAGTTCCGCCTTGCACTGAGGAAAATTGCAAAAATCGACGAAAGGAGAGAGATATTATTCCCAACCAGAACTGGAAGAGGGGACACTTGCTTTGTAGACCCTTACCTGGTTTTGGGCTACGTGTTGCTGGGTTTTGGTGGCGACTCGGGCTTGTTCTCAGCAAGACTCGATTTGCCAGGAGTGCCTTGTGAAGACCTGCGAATCAGAGGCAGCCCTCTCAGGATCACTGCACCCCGGGACCTGGTGAAGGGGACCGTCCCCTCGGACATGGGGGCTGCCACGGGTTGGTAAAGACTCGAACGTGAAGCGAACAGCCGCATGGTTGAACGAGCTCTTGAATTCCCCGTGCTCTCCGCTGAGATTTCCCACGATTGTCAGCTGACACCGGACGTTTTCACCCTCATCGGACATGCAGGCCTGAAAGCTAGGCACCGAGTCGGAGCCCAATAGCTTTGGCCTCGCAGGCGTTGCACTCATGATCTTTGAGAGTGGCATGCACTTCGACTTCGAGAAAGCCAAGGCATCGGATGGGGAGGGTACTGGCACCAGGGCGACTCATTCTCCGGAGTGGAGCTGATTTTCAGGCTCTTTCGCTTCCACCCCTCAGGTGGTCGGAGCCAAGGCTTGCTTGGTGGCCGTCGGCAGCTCAGACCCGATCCGTCGAACGAGCAACACGCAACGAGTGCGCAACGCGAAGCGCGAGGTTTTGGGCACCGTCACTCCTTTGATCGCCGGCTCCCTCTTGACCATGGTCTATGGCAAGGGGTGTGGATCTTGAGTCAATTGGTGGTCTTGAGAGCTGCGTTACTTTTTGCGATGAATTGACCTGATGCCCGGCTCCCTTGCGGTTTTTCGTGCAAAGCGGGGTTGCAAGCAGCGGAAGAACCTTGTTTGCACTTTGTTTGGGAGACCCCGCCTCGCTAGGTTTTTCCCCCAGGGCATTTCGGCCGGCACGGCCCTCGCCCCCACTAGCCGGGGGGCTTGGGAGGGCAGAGTGGTCGGGTCGGGAGTCAAACTAGATGTGTTTTCTTACTTTTGCTTTCTGAGATTGGGAATGGGCCCACACATCCGAACGCTGGAGCAAAATATCAATATACCAACAGCCAAGTAGGAGGAGTGGCTGGAGGAAGA